AGAAAAAGCACATTTGGTGCAACATATGCGAACACATACTGGAGAGAAGCCATATAATTGCAAAATGTGTGATTCAGCATTTACACAGAAGTCACATTTAGTACAGCATATGCGAACACACACTAATGAAAAACCATGTGTTTGTGAAGTTTGTGGAACGTCCTTTTCTCGAAAGTCAAATTTGGTGCGACATTTTCGAATGCACACAGGAGAAAAACCATTTTCATGCAGTGTGTGTGGATCTTGCTTCCGAGAAAAGGCACATTTAATACGGCATATGCAAATACACACTGGAGAGAAAAAATATTCTTGTGAAACATGTGGATCTACATTTACAGATAAGTCAAGTTTGGTGCGACATGTAAGAGTACACACTGGAGAGAGACCATATCTTTGTAAAATCTGTAGATCTTCCTTCTCCTACAGTTCAAGTTTGCTACGACATATGCGATTACACAATGGAGACAAAAAATATTCTTGTGAAACATGTGGATCTTCTTTTACACAAAAATCAAGTTTGGTTTTACATCTCTTAATTCACACTGGAGAGAAACCACATTCTTGTGAAAATTGTGGAATTGCCTTTTTAGAAAAAGCACATTTGGTGTACCACATGCGTACACATACTGGAGAGAAACCATATAATTGTGAAATCTGTGAAACCTCATTTTCGCAAAAGTCACATTTGTTGGAACACATGCAAAAACATAGTAAAGAAAAACCATATGTTTGTGATGATTGTAGGGCTTCCTTTCTGCGGAAGTCAAGTTTGGTGCGACATTTGCGAACTCACATTGGAAAGAAACTATATTCTTGTGGAACATGTGGTTCTACTTTTGTAGATAAGTCAAGTTTAGTGAGACATGTAAAAAACAAACACTGGACAGAAACTCCATTCTGGTGATGTTTTTACATTTGGATTTTGTATACATGTTAGCATATGTACAACTTATGAGAACACACACTGGAGAGAAACCATATAATTATGGAGTCTGTGAATCACTTGTAAAAGTCACATTTACTGCAGCATAGGAATTATAGTTATCAATTTTTTCTCAGAAAATTCATAGTGAGACATGCAAATTCCCACTAAAGTGCGAACATATACTGGTAAAGTGTGTGAATTTACATTTAGTGTATCATTTGTAAATACTCACTGGAAATAATACACTAAATGTAAATTGGAAAGAAACTGTATTCTTGTGGAACATGTGGTTCTACTTTTGTAGATAATTCAAGTTTAGTGAGACATGTAAAAAAAACAAACACTGGACAGAAACTCCATTCTGGTGATGTTTTTAAATTTGGATTTTGTATACATGTTAGCATATGTACAACTTATGAAAACACACACTGGACAGAAATCTTTAATGTATAAATCTGCTTTACATTGAAGTCAAACTTTATAAATCTGGAAATAAATCCTTTCTTCTCAAGCTGGCAAACCTTAATTTTCAAACACTTATATATTAAGATATATCTTAACAGTTAAAGTTTGCTTGTGAAATATATGAATCTGCATTTATATAAAATCAGATTAGTAAAATATATTGAAACTTCTAATAGAGGATATTCATGTGGCACCTTGCATTATTAGAAATATTCATAGAAATATGATTTAATTTTTTTTACTCGGTTTATTAAACAGGTTGTTAATTTTTTTTTAAACGGAAAATAATTGAGTTGAAAATAATTCACTAAAGTTGTACTTAGACGATCCTAAGGAAAGAAGAAGGAAGGGGAAAGAAAAAAAAAAAGGAAAGAGAGATGGATGATGCATGACCCGGTCATTAACAAAAACACGTATCAGAAAGGTAATTAGGCCAACATCTTGGCCGATTTTCGAAAGAACAATGGGATTTGTTATTTAGAAGGGAAAGTCATTTAGGGAGTGGAAGGGACAATGCTTGATAAGAGTGTATTGATAATAAAAAATATCGGTCAAGCACATGACCGACTTTTTAAATGAAAGACTCATTGTCAAATTGGAGAAAGGGGAATTTCTTTTTAGAACAATAGAAACGAAATTTTTTAATCGGAGAAAAAGTGTCTTTTGGGTTGAGGGAGTGACGGTGGGCGGTATACAGATTCTGACCTATTAAGAATTGGGAACCCACGATAATAAAGTGGGGACATTTTCAATGTAGATAATTAAGATTTTCTGACTGTCGGGTCTGACAAAAGCAGGAGGTGAAAAAACGATTGTCTCAGCTCACAGATTGCGCCAATATTCTTTCCTGAAGTCACATCTAATTAGCGGCAGGCTGTTTTGACAGAGCCCAGGTGAGAAAAAGCCAAGATTGTCATTTTTCGTACGTGCGAAAAGGGCAAAATTGGATTTTTGTTTTTTAAAACAAGAACGATGTAAACCACGCCCGAAAAAGAGGAGAAAGGATGCTCGATCAATAACAGTTGGTCGGAAGCGGTCCCACGTGGCATATGGGAGAGAGGAGGAGAAATGCTCGATCAGGAATCATTGGTCGAGAGCGGTCACCTGACATACGAGGGACCGGGAAAGATGGGTGTCGCCTCCCCACCAAAAGGCACTGTGAGGAAGTAGGGGTGAAAACAATAGCGATAATGGGAAGACAGAAATAATGCGGCTATTGGAATTATCGAAAACCCCTGACGCCGACAAACCCACCCCGTTTTGTTGCGGCGTCAATAAAAGCAGGACCCCAGTCGACAGAAATGAGTTGCAGCTGGACGCGGGCAGGGATAGAGCCTGAACGCGGGCATCAGGCGATTCACTCGCCCCTTTGCGGGCAAGAGAATCCTCAGACAAGAAATCCTTCCACCCAAGTCGAAGACAAGAGAACTTCCAGCCCAAGCAGGCGAAGAAGGAGATTGCTCGAAGGACGCCAAGAGTTGTGGCAGAGTTACGGCAGAGTTCAGCCCCGGACGGCAGCGAGAAGAGATCACCTCGGACGACACAGAGTAGCGGCTGAGTTGCGGCAAGAAATCCTTTCCACCCAAGTCGAAGACAAGAGAACTTCCAGCCCAAGTGGACAAAGAAGAAGATTACTCGAAAGCCGCAGAGAACTTCCAGCCCAAGTGGACAAAGAAGAAGATTACTCGAAAGCATAGAGAAGATCCAGCCCAAGTCGAAGACAAGAGAAGTTCTATCTAAGTCGATTTAGAAGAAGAAGAAATACAACTCAGGTCGAAGAGAAGAATCAACTGCGAATGATCGATAGAAATTAGCCCCAGTGTCGAACTAAACCACACTCCGACATACACAATTCTAAAGAGTAGGCAATTCAGAAATCTTTAGGTTGTGTGATAGAAGCTTAATTGCCATAGTCCAGAGCGGTCGGGAAATAAGAACAATTTTGTTTTTATATAACGGACATTAGATATAAAAGGTTGTTACCCTTTTTTATCAGTAATTTTTGTCTCGTGAGTTTTTTTTTTTTTTTTGTGTTTTGCCACCCCCGTCGGACTCAACTTGTATCGCCCCCAATCCTGCTGGTCCCGTCTGTCTAAGATCTAAACACAGCGTGGGTAGACAGACCGGAGATCAGTACAGTTGCTTCAGTAACCAGGTATTGGAAGCGAGTTGGGAAAGGCGAGGCTGGTGATCATCTAACCAAGGGGTTGGAGCGGCACGCTTGGAACCAGGAGGAGCGACCAGGAGGAGCGACGTCACAGTTGGCGCCGTAACCAAAGGATTCGACCCTGGGCCAGGTGTGTAACCGTCACATTCATAATTTATTTTATATACATGACCATATATTTTTAGGAATGTTAATTTGAAAGCGAATGTAAACACATTCTGTAAATTAAAATTGCTCTCCAGATGTTTCTGGCTACACACTTTTTAAATCAGTTTTGAAACGTTTTAAAATTCATATTGACTAGATATATATTTAACCTCAAAAATGACTGCAGAATATATTTATTTTTTATAAATTCTTAGGGTCTTTATGGAAATTCTTTTGTAAGACCATTATTTTTTAAGTTCTATTATATGTATGTATGTATAGCTGGTCACTCATATTCGAGAATACCCGTCTACTAGGGCGTCTAGACAATCCCTGTTGCAGACGCTTGCTCAGGCGCATTTGTGTTTATTCAACACCCACAGAGGTTTATACTGCAACAATGCTGAGCAGACCTTAGTTACACTTTCTGGGAAAGAGCATGTTATCTAGCATGATCAACAATTTGAACAAGGCCAGCACGCTCAAGACTTCGGCCACGATGACTTGTGACTTTGTGCTTGCACAGTTATCAACAGCCCCCAAGGGTTCTGTCTACCCAATTTCACTCATGAGGCTTGAGTCAACCCGTGGTATGGTTTTCAGGCACTTTCCAAGGGTGCCGCATGCTGGGATTAACTCCTCCAGTCCGATAACATCTGGAAGTTTCCTTCCTGACAAATCGACCATGTTGAGATTTGAACCTGGTTCTCATGATCAGAATATGAACCTTTTAACCACTCGGTCACATGTCCATCCCATTATATATGACTAAATATTAGTGATATATATGATTTATGGTATGTGTGGATGTATGTTTTTAAATCTCTTACATTTTTTTAAAGAATATTGAATGATTATAGTGCGGACACACAGAAGTCTTCAATTTTAGAGATCAGCAAGAAAACTTTGTTTTAATAATTTTAAAATCTTATTAGAGTTAGAAAATTTAATCAATGCCATAACAACGAATTAAAAAAGGCACAAGAGGAAAATAGAAAATAAAAAAGACCACAACCACAGCAAATATTTCATCTGTTTTTTTTTTTTTATGGTTTATCAACCTTTATTTACAGCCAGAAAAGATTTTTAGATTGTAAGATTTTTTTAAGATAATAATGATTTAATGATACAGATCATACTAATTAACCCATAGCCAGATGGAGAAGAGGTGGATTCATACCTTTTCCAAAGGTATTTGTGTATAAGTGTATATAATGAACTTGACTGGAATTAAAACTTGGCTCCCTGATTGACAATTCTGAGCCATTATCCATTACACCACCTGCACACCCAAACTTACAGTACACAATATTCCCAGGTGGTTACCCATCTAGGTACTGACCCGACTCAATGTTGCTTAACTTCAGTGATTGTATGGGAACCACTGTTTCAACCACAACAAATAATAATGAAAAAAGTAAACAAGAAATATAGAATCAGCTGACTGATTTTTATTCGTCTCTCATCAGAATTTGAGCAAAAATCCAACGGCTGTGCACATCATCTAAAAGTGGGAAAAAAATGAAAATAAGAAGTATATAAGTATCAATAATGTATTGACACACTGAGACCCCAATAACCATGCCCTTTCTTTACATAAGGAAGGATGTCTTGATTTAATAAAAATTGTCTCAAGACCTTCCAGATGAAAGTCAGAATTATGATCTGCTCAACACAGAACAAATACTAAAAGAATTCTCTCTGTACAAAGCAAGAAGTATTCTCAGTATTGTGTAGATCACATTCTGTCAGGGCTTATGGCCATATCACATTGAAACACAGGTTCCTATATGTTATGGTAATTTATCCACATGCAGGAACTCTTCCAGCTCTAAATAGGAGCAGGTACTGCCTTTTGGAGAGGGAAGTTTCCAGCAGTCAGCTCTGACAGACTGAACATTTTTGCTGTAACACTTTCGTTTGTATTACTGTTTCTGTTAATGTTATACCGGAACATTACCTATTCTATTGTAATAGACTCTCCCACACATAAGTAGTAGTAGTAGTAGTAGTAGCGGTCACCAGTTGAGCTCAGAGTGAGTTATGTGAGTCAGCTGATGTCGGACATTAAAGTATGAGCCCCTCAACTAGATTGCTGCGTCATTAACTATTATTTCAAGTTCCTAACGTTTTGTACGTTGAACCTAATTTAGGACCGACTTAGTGAAATACAAGCCTCCACTGTGAAAACTACTCTACAACAGTTAATATATTTGTTTAACTGAATTCCTCTCTTTGTGTCTCTATTTCTGGCCCTAACAAGGCCATGACACTATACAAAATTAATGTCGAGCCTGGTCAGTATGGGTGATTGCTTGGAAATACTGGGTGCTATAAACATGGACATGTAGGCGGTATATTGAAATATAGTTTGGAATTGTTAATTGGTGGACCAAGTTTCAATTCCTGTTGGCTTTGTTATATTCACTTACTAGCAGTAGAGCCCGGGGATGTAACAGTAAGAGATAGATCAAGTATCGACCATCATAAAGACTGAAAAATAAAATTGACAAAGATTATTGTTTAAGGTTGACGGTCACACATGTCTTAATTAGGTTTTTTTTTTTTTTTTTTTTACGAATTAGTCAAACCCAAAAATATTGTTTTCAATGAGTCTACCGATTGAATAGAATTTTATTATAAACAATTGTCTTGTAAATGGAATTTTTAAAGCATTCTGAATGTAAAAATAAAGAAAAAAGTGTGCAAGACAATAAGAAACACTATCTGCCAAAAAAAAAAAAAGTGAAGTTTTGTTGAAATCAGTTGAAAAATGTAGGAAATCGATCCCATATATAAAACGAACACACACACACACAAAACAACCTGGGTTTTATAAAGAAGTATAACTCGATATGAGTTGTCCCCTTTCATTCTGGCGACAGAATCGTGTTTTATTGTGTTTTCAAATTGATTTTGTGCAAAAACAATTGTGTTTTTCCAGTTTTTAGCACTGTCAGAACCACTGCAAGGTAATTTTACGCAGTCCTGTGAAGTTTTGTTGAAATTGGTTGGAAAATGTAGGAAATCCGATCCAATATATAAACGTACAGACACACACACACACACACACACACACACACAATCTGCGTTTTATAATAAGTAAGATGTGTAAATACCCTTGGAAAAAGTATGAATCATGTTGAATAAGAAATGACTACTCAATCCCAGTTGTGACTTAATCTACACCCACAACTGGAAATCAATGTCTGATTTGTTGTCATTTCTTAGCAAAAGTTTTTGTTTATTTATTCTTTTATTCCTATTTAGTGCAGTGGATGACTCCTTTGAAGACCATATCTCACAGGCCTTATTGCTGGTCATAAGTCATGAAACACTTTAGATTGGGATAAAATCTCACACCTTCTCACCACTATGTGCATGTCCCAATCATAGTGGAACAATTTAACATTACATCTTATTAAATACATGACTTTGTCAGTTGCTTGCAGCCAGTGTGTTTATGTGTGTAAGTGACCCTTAGACTCATCCGAAAAACATCAACATTACATTGTCATCTGTGATATCTGAGAGGGGCTACATACCGTACCCCTATGGCAGGTCTTTTTATATCTTTCTCTCTCCTACAGCTCTTTCTCATGTGTGCAGCTAGGTTTACATGGGTTTGCACTTAGACGAAAACTCTCGTCAACTTTGCACCTGTGTTCTCTGAAAGACATTGCAAATTCTATTTTGGCATAATCTGGGGTGAGATGCATACTAAACAAATGAATAGAAAGTGAATTAGAATTGATGATGACAACAACTGAAAGAACTGTGCTGTTTTTTGTCATCAAATAGTGTTTGTCCTCTTGTGGGTGCTTTTATGTTGATAGAGGGCACTGGGAGTTTTTATTTCATTTCGGGTGTGGTGAACATACTCGGTGGGGGAGTGGGCATTTATCCATTTTTGTTTTTTTTTTCAAATCTTTTCAATATTGGCTGCAAAAGAAAATTTCTAAAAGGTATCTAAAATTGTGGGAAGCTAACAAATTTTTTGTTATTGTTTTTCCAACTTCCAATATGGCTGAATGTGGTTTCAATGCAGTTACACAGCTTCTTTCTAAACAAAGAAACCATCTTTAAATTAAAAAATGAGATCTATGATTACTTCTAAACAGCATGGAACCTAGAGTGAGAGCCTTAGCCAGTAAGCACCAAAGTCAACCATCGCATTGAACACCTTGAGATAAGCTATGAAATGAACCTAGAGTGAGAGCCTTAGCCAGTAAGCACCAAAATCAACCATCACATTAAAACCAATAAACTCAAAATGAACCTATCGCATTAGTAAGCGCAAAACCATTGATTGAAAAGCTATAAGCTATGGAATTAACCTAGAGTGATAGCCTTAGCCAGTAAGCAGCAAAGTCAACCATCGCATTGAAAACATTGAGATAAGCTATCAAATAAGTTTTCTTTTTAGCATTTATAATGGAAATGAAAACTATATTAAAATTATTTTTGCACTGATACCTAAATGTTATCCTGCTAAGAAAGATTTATTCAGTATAATAATTAAATGGGGTGGGCTGTTGACAAAAAAGTTTGTGCCCAAATGGGGTGCTGGTTGAAAAAAAAAGTTTGGAAAACACTGGTCTAGGATTTCAAAATGGCTGATTTTCTTTTGGTGGGAAAAGAACATTTAAGTGAATCACATAATAAAAATTATCCCTGTTGAAAGCAAGAAGTGCTCAGAACTTTTTTAGTTGTTAATTTTGTTTCCATATCAATAAAATTCTTTAACAATGTTTTGTTAAAGGTGGCACATTCTCAACTTGTTGAAAATTTTGTTACTGGAATCTAATTTGATGGAAAACAAAAAACTTAAAGTGCTTCTGTTTGCCTGATAAAGTTTTTTTTCCTTTGAGATAATCCATAATATTGTCAAAAAAGTATTCATCACATTATTGAAGGTGTAAACTTGATTTTGTCTGCCAATGTGTGTATGTGTGTAAGTGGCACTGAGACTCTCACCCAAAAACATGGACATTACATTCTCATCTGTGATATCTGAGAGAAACTACACATTGTACCGCTAGCATAAGTGTATATGGTGTATTGAATAATTTACATTGTTTCTCTTAATAGCTGTTAAATAAAAATCTAAAGACTAATATCCTTATCTTTGTTGTTATTACAACTTTTGGCAGTTTTGCTCTCTGGCCTTCTTCAGGTATCCATTGATCTATTGAATATTATAGCCTAATAGATTAAAATATTGGTTCATGAATTTGGCAACATATTGTGAGATAAATCTCTGGGCTTATGGCTATATCACATTGAAACAACAGTTAAGCAGTGTCAAGCCCGGTCAGTATCTTGATGGGTGACCGCTTGGGAATACCAGGTGCTGTCAGCTTGGATGTGTGGGTGATGTAATGGATAACAACTTGGAATTATTAATCAGAGAGCTGAGTTTCAATTCCAGTCTGGTTTGTTATATTCATTTACACACAAATAGCCTTGGGAAAGATAAGAATCTACCTCTTTTCCTCCCAGCTATGGTTTAATTAGTAAGACTTAATATTAATCATTATTATCTCCCCTTCTCCCAATTTTTACAATCAAAAAATAGTTTTCAACCTGCAAAAGGTTGATGTCATAAAAAAAAAAACAGATGAATCAATCTCTGGGTTGGATACTAGTGACTTAGGCTCAGTTTGGTTTGGTTTGTTTTATTTTATGGTATATCAACGTCAATGGGTTATTTAATGCCGTCAAAATTTTTATTGCTGGTAATATGTTTTTCTTCAAAAATCTATTTCTGGGAATATTTTTCTTTGAAGAAATCGAAAGCTGGTCATATTTTTTTTTTCAAAGAATGTATAACTGTTTGTATTGCTGTTTTTTTTTTTTTTTAAGTATTGCTGATAATAATTTTTCATTCAAAAATAATTGCTGGTAATAATTTTTTTATTACAAAGTATTTCTGGTATTAAAACCTATTTTTACACAAGTTTGGGTGTTTAACTATTTGCTCATAGCTGGGACCCTAACAGATGCTACCACCCCGGGTCAGGGTGGACCTGAGAACACCAGAAATTCAGAGGTGGTTCTATACTCCTCAAAACCTCTTGATCAGAGGCCTTGCTGCTGGATGTAGTTTATTGTCTTACCCAGGATGTGGATGTAGTTTATCGTCATACCCAGGACAGGACTTTGACTCGGTGGAAAAAAGGCAAGTAATAACTGAGAAATGTTAAAAATGAACAAAACAAGACAAAAATGAATCAGTCAATGAAATATTGATCATCTACACAAACATATCTGTTGTGGATTCTGAGATGAATTCGGTCTCCAAGGAATGACAAATGCAATAATTAAATATAAGAAATAAAATGTATTTACACAATCATACAAAGAGTAATACTGTTAGTAAATCCAGAAACG